CTGGGCCATGCCCATGGGCACCCTGTTAGGTCCTCATGTCTGGGATCTACATTTCCATCTGCACCTGCAGGCTTATGCACTACTCAGCAAGACTTAACCCCTGAACCTAGTAACTGGGCTTTGGACATAAGCCCGTCACCAAGTCCTGAGGCCACACCAGCCTTTTAACGTCTTTGAGCATCTACCCTATGAGGAGAGCTGGGGCCAATAGCCTTGTTTACTTGCCATGTGCCAGGAGTACTTTATATGGTAAGGATAACAGTTTATATTCATATATTATCTTGGGCCTTGGAACAATAGCAGCAGGGTGGTTATTACTGTCCCTATTTTACACATAAATCTGAGGCTCAGGGAGCTTAACTTGCCCAAGATCACAGAGCTTAAGCCACAAGAAACAGAAATGCCTCCCTTCAAAGCCCACACTCTTTTTTATTTGTATTATAAGGGCATAATAAAACCAAGTTCTTGCTCCGTCAGGCTTACCAGAACCTAGATGATGCTTTCAATTCTAGGACTTGTCTCTCAGCCTGCCTCTATGTTCAAATAAAGGATGGGTCTCTCCTATTCAGTGCGGCGTACTTAAAACTGGATAGCCTACAAGAGTTCCAGGTATCACTTAGATAGTGACTTCACTAAAAGTGGTTAATAAGTAAGGTAGTGCTAACAGAGCAGGGCAGAGGTGAAAAACATAAAGCCTGTTGAAGGGGTGACAGGCGGTCCAGGAGATAAAGGCTTTATTAGGCTTCTGAGACTTTCCCAGTGGGACGTGACAGGCTATTCAAGCCACATAGGCATAGTCAGGGGCCAAGGAATGGGAGCAGCGAGGGAACAGGACTTCCTCATCAGAGTCCAAAGAGAGGGCAAGACCAGGAATACAGGAAGTATGTTACAGGTGTGTGTGTGTGTGTGGGGGGATGTGAGCCCTACAGAAGTCTGTTTCTGGAGACCCATGCAGAGTGCATTTACAAAAAACCAAAACAAAACAAAAGAGAGAGAGAGAGAGAGCCAAAGAGATTACAAAGGCACAAAAGGGGAAGGAAATTTGCAAATTTGCAAAGGGCCTTGGAACTATTTCTTTTAATAGAAGACCGGGAATGGGGGAAGAGAGGAGGCCACTGAAAAATTCTGCGAATAGGACCGACCAGTATTCCAGTCGGGGAAGGGTGCTGAGGAATCCTTGGTGTGTGTTACCAACTGGCTAGCATTGGTATTACAGGGACCTCTAGAAAGGTGTTCATCTCTTTGCAGGTTAAGTTCCTTAGTCTTCAAAATGGGGTTGTAAATAAATACATACATAGCTAAGGCAGTTAATATTTTTCAAAACATCTTTTGGTACTTTTACATGCATAGCTCTCATACAGTTCGAAAGAAGAGGTTGACGGCAACAAATCATTTAGAGAAAAATACAGAATTTAGAGCCAAAGTACCAAAGTAAAGAAAAACTGAGAATTCTATAGGTTACAAATGACCATACTAACTAAATCAAGGACCCTCTATCATTTCCTCCTCAAGCTTCCTTGAGAAGATAATAATTTCAAAGTTCCCTTCAAAAGCTTTTCATTGTACAGGCTTTGGCCTTTCCTTGACCCACTTGGCCGGCATTCAAGCAGAACACCAAGAATCTGAATTCCAGACCTTAGCTTTCTTAATTGTACTGAGAGTGCCATGTGTACTTTTTCTTCAGTCAGAACGTTTGAATGTGCTGTATGGTAGGCGAGGTAAGTGATTTCCAATTACTTATGGGCACCGTAAGGGTTCAGAAATTTGGCAAAGCCCCCCCAACTGCCCAGTGCTTGGAGGTCAGGCGGGCAGCTGGGGTGAGAGTGGGGGAGGGGCGCAGCATCCAGGCCTGGGCACTCGTGGGCGGGGCCTCGGGGATTCTGCTCAAACACAGTGGCGCAGGCGTCCTTCAATCAGTCTTTTTGCAAACTGCAGGAACCAGCTTCCTCGAGATCTCAGCTTGGAGCCTGGAAGGTTGAAGCAAACAGGGGCTTCCGAGCAATTCCTCCAGCCGCCACCCCCATGCAGAACATGTTCTGTACATGAAGGGGGTTTTTGTGGAAAACTTAGTAGATGAAGCCTCTCGAGTTACTATCACACAGACTGAATCTCTTCTAAAAGAAATAGAGCCATAAGTGCTCAGAACTAAGTGCAGCCTTCCTATGAACACATAGGAAACGTACAGTAAAGTAAAAACAGACTCGATATGTGCAGACCAGAACAGTTTACCTCAAGTAATAGCTCACATTCCTCAGTCCTGCGGTTATTGACAATAATTGCTAGCTGGCCTGGAGCACTGCATATTAAGGACAAAACAAGTGGAGGTTGCTTGGTCTCCTGAAGTTGTGGTCCCTGAAGTAGCCAAACCAGATCAGCTGGTTAACAACAGCAAGGAACCTTTTAGGGCCTGATTTATAAATCTTTCAATAAGCGTTTTAAGTCAGTGCTAAATTTATAGTTTATTGAGTAACATAGTGTTTAAGAGATAATTCCTGACTCCTGGATTTTACAGTCTAATAATTATCTGGTTTTACTACCTAAGTGGCTCAAATTAAACAAATAACTACCAAGAAAGCATTTCAGAGTTAGTGTCTAAAAAAGTTAGTGTTAGCTTTGTAGAGTTTGTGTCTAAAAAAAAATAAATAAAATAGCAATCTATCCTGTAGGAACAGTCGAGATGAAATAATGGGAGAAGAAAACACTAGTTGGAAGGATGTTTTAAGGAGATCAAAGATGGTTCTCTTAAAAGTGGTTAAGTCATGAGTTCTAGAGCCAGATTGTCCTAGTTTAAATCCACTGTTAACTAGCTGTGGGGCATCAGATAAATTACATATCTTCTCTGGGCTACTCTTTCTGCCCTCGAAAATGGGTATAAAAATAATACCTCTAAGCCGGGCAAGGTGGCTCATGCCTGTAATCCCAGCACTCCAGGAGGCTGAGGCAGGAGGACTGTCAAATTGGAGCCCAGCCTGGACAACTTAGCAAGGCCCTGACTCAAAACGAAAAATAAGCAGAGCTATAGCTCACTGTGAAGGTCCTGGTTCAATCCCCAGAATTGGGGAGAAAAGATAAAATAAAAGGAGAATTACATATGACAATCCTATATCGTCCTGGTGGATCTCCAGTGATGTCATTCCACTACTATTTAGTAGAGAGGAAATTTAGACTTTAAAAGAACAGTGGGTGTTATAGTCAACATAAGGTGTTGATCTGGCATGTGTTTACTTGAAGAAGGCAGAATTTTTGCGGGTGAAGGTGTCCACAAAGTAATAAAAATCACGTAGTTATACCATTTGGCAGAGCTTTCAGCACTGGTAAGACCCAGCAGAGAGGCAGGCTTTCTTCAGGAATGCCCGTTGCCATTTACATTGTCAGTCATTATGATGTTTTCTTTCCATCAAGGGTAAAGCTAAACATGTTGAGGTCACTGAATAAAAAGCATTACTTTAGACCTTGTCACTTGTATCACTTTCTGGATTGCAGAACTCAAGGTTAATTTCAGCCATTTAACTTTCTAATAACAAAATACCAACATACTTTCTCTTTTCTCTGTAAGCTAGTTTTTAATTCAGCAGCATAGAGAGGAAGAGAAAAAAATTCACTCCAGGCCAAGTAAATGCCAGTCTTATTCCTGTTCTAAATAAGGAAATTATGGAAATAGGGCACACACCCCTTCAAGAAAGAGAACCACCCTGCCAGGTGAAAGGATTTCTGTCTGATTGTATCCTGAAGTCAGATATTAATAAGCTTCAAGATCCTCCTTTCCTCCGACCTCCCCTACTGAGGCAGATAACGGAAAGCCAGTAGTACAGGGATAACTGATACCTGTGTTTTCAGACATTTGTAACCTTTTCAAGAACTATAACTCACACATCACAGTAACAACTTATGACAGTTAGACTTAGAGCTTTAGAACAAGATTTATGGCCATTGAACAAAAGATTTATCACTGAGGTTAGCCCAGTGGCTATTAGTGACAGCAAGTATTTACAACCTTACATCAAAAAAGGATTGTCCAGAGACTGGATAATGCAGAGAGAGAGCAAAGTGGCTCTTAGATAGCCAATCCCTGAAGACCAGACAGGCAGTACAAATGGTCAATCCCACAAGCATAGCCACTTTGCCAACATTCATTTTAATGATAGCAATTTTTAAAAAAATTATTAAGGCCCATAAATCCAGGGCGCAGGAATCATGCCCAATTCATTGCAATCTGGTACCGTCCTGCCTTTCCTGGGGGCTGTTTGCCTCCTTAGCTGGGAAATGCTGAGCCAGTCCTATTCCTTTTGCCAAGAATAAACACACAAGCTATGGTGCAAAGTGCACTGGGAGGTAATGCTGCCTAAGTATTATTACTGCTGAGGTACTCATATTATCATTGCTGAGGTATTCCTCTGAAAGATACAGGGACACCAAACCGGCCTGAGCCACCTACTCTCAGCCCATTCAAGCCCCAGTAAAACGTTTTCAAGAAATGACGAATACTCATTCAGTTTACATTCAATACCATCTAAGGCTGTGCAGCTCCATCAGCAGCCCTGTAATAGTATCTGGGCTTTTAATTTCTCCCACCAAAACTGCGTGTGACACACCGCTTCCCAGGCCAAACGCTTAAGTCCAAGTCTGCAAAACTTTGCCTTGGAGTCTCAGCAGGTCTGATTCCTCTTCTCAGGGCTCCGAGCAGCGGAGGCCGGGCCAGGCTCTGGGGGGAGCCGCTGAGACTTGAGCGGTACAGTCAGACGCCCTCTCCCGCACGGTGTCTAAGTCCAGCTTCTCACCACGTCTAGTCCCCGGCCAGTTTCAGACAGATGAACGGGGGTCACAAAGACTGTTTTTGTTTTTGTTTTCTTGCCTGCCAACCTCAGTGACCGAGACCCGTCCCGATCTCTCCAAGCCACCCGAGGGTCCCGTTCGTACCCAAAGTTGTCACAGTGGGACACGCACACACGCAGGCACAGCCTCCAGAGTCCAGAGGAACCTCAGGCACAAGCTACTCTTACCTTATACTTCATTTCGGCGGAGGTGAGCTGAGCCGTGGTCCTGCACTAGTTACACAGCATTAAGCACGGGACCGTCCGCCCCTCCATGGAGCGCGGTGCTAAAAGCGACTGAACTCGGTCCCCGCGCAGCGCGCCTTCCCAGAGCCTCTGAGCTCACTGTTTTGACTGAGGCTGGCTGATCACGGACTCATTTGCATATCACCCATCATTGGCTGGTGGGGGAAGGTAATGACGAAGCTCCGCCCACTCCAACTTCTAAAAAAAAAAAAAAAAACTCGCGACAAAGACCTTGTAATGCGATCATTTCTTTTTACATTATCAAAAAGGGCGGAAAATAAAACAGAACGTGGGGAACCGTCCCAGACCTCTGCACAGCCCCACTTTATAAAATTTTTTAAAGATTTTTTTTTTAAAAGGAAAGAGAAAGCAGGAAAAGGAGATACATTCCTTTTAAGATTAACCTAAATTTTAAAGAATCCAAATTCACAAAAGCAGTCTGACAGTCGCGCTTCCTGTGACCTAGCAACTAGTTCATAAACCCGTTTCATTTCAAAGCCATCCACCTCACAATCTCTACATGAAACGAATCCGGGGAACAATAGGTTTTCTGTCTCCGGGCCCCTTTTACTAACTACCCCTGCTGATCTCCCTTTCTTTCCCTCTCTGTCTCTTTCTCTCTGTCTCTTTCTCCTTGCCCTTCCCCCTCCCTTTTCTGTGGCTGTTTGCTTTTTTTTGTTCTATGCAGTGTTCAAAGTACTTTGCAACGTCAGTGTGCAGGGAGCTGGAATACAATTCTCCCTCAGTGAGGAGAAGCTCCCTGCCTGGGCACGGGGCTCTTTGGACAGCGTCTCACCAGGGCCTCTTGGAGTTGAGCTGCGGACACTCACAGCGACCTTTGCCGTCTTTGTTGAGGATAAAGGTTAGATGTGACCCCTCAATGGGCTGGCCAGGGCACGCCCTATACATCAGCGCAGGCCCCGAATTCTGTGCTCTTTGATAGCTGGCATTGCTAGCTCCGGCTTTGAACACTGCCATTTTTTCCTTCTGACCTCTCTCCCAAGGATGACCCATTAACCCACCAACACTTATTATCCTGGGAAGAGGGGCGCACGCTGTTTGATAAGTCTGGTTCCTGTATTTCCTTGCTGAAAAAAACTGTCAGTGAGGCATTGGTTGATTAGCTTTGTATGTCTATATGTGTTTTCATGAGAAACTACATTGAAGATATCAATATGTAATACAATAAGCATTGTTAATTCCCTACCACTCTGTTTGTAACTCTGTAATGTCTGTGCTGATCCTTTGCTATTTTGTAAAACGTTGTCGATCTGTTAGTATTTTCCTCCTTTTATTTCTAAAATTAAAAAAAAAAAAAGCCCAGTGCCACTCCAAGATTTTGAAAAAAAAAAAAAAAAAAAGCCCAGTGCCACTCCAAGATTTTGTATAGAGGCTCCATTTGTTCATTTCTGCAGAGCAGAGAATCACCCAGGAGAAGACAGAAATAGTCACTTTTAGTGAGGAGAAAAATTCTTTTTTTCTGGGCCTCAGGGTTGAGACTTGGTAAATCCAGACAATAGCTGTCCCCAGTGGGAGGCTCTCCCACCAGACTACATGACGGGCGCGGAAAAATCAGTCTTTATTTTTTCTCCTGGCTGTTTGGAGCAGAATGAGTTTGCTCTCCCTTCTCTCCTGGATTAAAACTCTAATCAAATCCCCAATGGGTTAAAACTCTACTTTTATAATCTAAGCAAGAACAGGAGAGCAACTGTCTGTTTAGCCTGGTTTTCAGGTAGAGGGTTTGCAGCTGAGCTGCAGCTTACGGGGGCACCGGTTCCCTGGATGGGCCCATGACACACCTGTTCTGCCTCCGATAGGTTGTGCTTGCTCCCCATTTGTCCTTAAGCAAAAATGAGCCGAGTGATTCTGCAAGATTTCTCTGGAGGCAAATGAAGCACGCAGTGCATTGTGGGGCGAGGGTCTTTCTAGCAGCCTTGCAGAAGTTAGTTTGCAAGAAGTTGTTTTCAGTATCTGCCAGGATGAGGGAGGATCATGAGTCAAAGCGCTTTCCATCGGTAAGATGAGTCTTGGGGCCTCCAGGAGATGCAGATAACATTCCTTTGGTTTCCTCAGCCCCGAGGCCGAACCCTCTTGTTTGTGGGATGAGTACCACTCTGGGTATGTAGACACCAACTACTCCACCCCACCTGACATTTCAAAACAGTGTCCCAAGGCCTGATCTGGGATTTTTGTAATTTCATTCTCGAGCTAGAAATCTTGATTCCTACGGAGGGACTGTCCTGTGGTTTCTGTTTCTACCAGGACAGTGAGACACTTAAAATGCACCTGAAGTTTATTTCGAGATGGTTAAGGTTTGTGTACCATTAGCTGCATGCAGAAAAACACAGGGTGTTGGAATCAGGCACACTTTTTTTGGAATGCATTTGGAATAAACTTGAATTTAGTGTCCTGAGGTATAAGTAGAGAAAATAATAATATGCACTTGCTGGGTTATAATAAGGATGAAAGGAAACGAGGTGGATATAAATTAATAGTATTTGGTATATTGTAAGATCTTAATAAATGGATGCTTCTTATTATTGATATTATTATCACTTCAACATTAATATTATGTTTCTCATATATTAGTTACTATATGGCATTGTTATAGTATATTATATAAATGCCATTAATATGCAATTGTTTTATTAATTGTAAGTATTGTTAATATTAGGCTGTTGATATTTGGAGAGTGGAAAGCATTCAGAAATAGGTGAGGAACCTCCCCGTTTGTGTGCCTTCTACTTCATAGGCAGCTGCCCAGCGTGGCTAGCGTGGAGTAGGCGGGACATACAGAACAGACAAGCTCAGAGGTAGGAGGAAGGGGACTTGGAGGTTTTCCTAAGCATGAAAGAAGCCAATGCAACGTGTTCAGTAGGGAATGATCTATTTCTCTTGATTCTTTTTACCCATGTTTAAGCACTGTAGGATATTATAAATAGTTAAAATACTGCGCTCCGGTCTTACATTAGCGGGGTAAGTCATGCAAATAGTTGCTACTTTATTAGTGCCGTTTAGTATGTTTCCTTAAAGTGCTTGGAGGAGCACAAGTTCCATCAATGAACAGAGAAACAGCCCCTTGTTCATCTATTCCCTGAAGTATTGGGTGCAAACATGAGGTTTAAACTGGACTACCTCATGGAGTTCTGCGGCAGCCCTTGTCCTCCCATTTCAGGGTGCCTTCTTGAAATGGGCCCTGGCCTGGGGTTCAGACCCCTGTGCGTCCACCGCTTTCAATAGCAGGGGTCTCTGCCTGTCAGCCTTGCCACCTGCCTGTTTGTTTGCCAAGGCTATGCCTTCCCAGACCCTCTGCAGGCAGGATCGAGGAGCACAGCGCTGGGTGGCACCCCAGTGGCTTTCCAGCTGCGGTAAGCCATTCGTGCAAATGCAGCAGATGTTAAGAGGGTGCTGGAGGAAAGAGACCTCTGTCTACAACTTCAGAGGACCCGGTGGGTGGGGGTAGGTCATAGAACCAGGGCATGAGAGCAAGGGCTTGAACAACCTTGGAAATCTTCGAGTCCAGCACTTCACAGAGAGCACAAAGCCACCTCTGGAGGTCAGAGCTGTGCGTGAGTCCCCCCAGCACGAATCACAACGAGAATTCAGTCTTAGGTCAGTCTCCCGAATCTCTTTCTGAACTGTGCCACCGATTTCTCTATAGTTTCTTTGCCTGAAGTTTCTCCCTGTCCCAGTCTATCTTTTATGTTGCTACCTGTTGAATTCCTGGAATACAGAGCCAATCCCATTACTACCGTGTTTAAAACGCACCGGTGACACTTGTATGACTTAAAACACAGAAACTGGACACTTTGGCAGAGACTGTGCTCTGAGCCCTCACTCTTTCTGGCCTTCCGTCCTCTCCTCCCTCCGTGTCTTTGTCCCTCTCTCCCTCCCATTCCGCCCTCCAGCCACGTGGGGGTAGGGGTGCGGACTCGCCAATCCCAGAATGGGCTCCTACCTTTCCTGACTTGCACAGACGGCCCTAGCTCCTGCCTGCTGCTGTGGAGCCCGGCCCCAACACTAACTCTTTTGTGCTTCTGTGTCTACAACCCCCACCCTGCCCACCTCGCCCTTTCAGAACCCATCCCTCCCTCCTTCTACTGTGCCCCCATTGTGCTTGGAACACAGCTCCATTATAAGGGCTTTTTCACTTTGGAGCACACAGATTTGTTGATGTCTGTTCTGCCAGCTTTGGTGTGTGTTCCGGCGGGACAGGGTGGTGTCTTGCTGACTCCTGGGTCACCTTGTACGTTATAGGTGCTTAAGTCCTTGCTCATTGACTAAGAATACAAATGCAACTTCAAAGAACACGTGTTTACCTTGAGGCTGTGCTTGGTGCGCAGGAAGGGAAGGAGAAAAACACACTTTAGAGGGCAGCCTTCCGGTTTACATTTATGAAAAATGAGCAAAGGATGAACCTTGTCAGAACCTAAGGCAAGGTCAGTTTTCCAGTTCTGTAGCTATGAGCTGAGAATAACTTTTACACTTTTAAGTGGCCTGCCTTGGCAGGGGGTGGTGACAGGAAAGAATAATATTCATGCAATGTGCAAGTACATGAGATTAAAATTTCTATGTCTCTAAATAAAGTTTTATTAGAACACAGTCATTCCCATTCATTTACACATTGTCTCCTAAGCGGCAAGGGCAGAGCTGAGTGGTTGCCACAGAGATGGTACAACTCACAAAGCCAAAGTCATGTTTTGTCTGACTCTTTGCGAAAAATTGCGCTGACCTGTGTTCTACAATAGCAGCACAAAGTAAATCTGGCCCTGAGTTCAGACGAAGTTACAGATCCTTTCTAGAGGAACAGTTTAGACACTGGATGAATACCAGACCTCAGGAAACAAGATCAGTCCTAAAAATATAAGCACGCTGGGACCAAGGTTTATGTTTTAGTTTCATACCAGTTTTTTATTATTAATTGATTGTAGTACTGGGGATTGAACTTAGGTCTACATCCCCAGCACTTTTTAAAACTTTTAATTTTTAAGCTGGGGTCTTGCTAAATTGCCCAGGTTGATCTCAAATTTGCAGTTCTCCTGTCTCAGTTTCCCAGAGTGTTGGGATTACAGGCATGTCCCACCGTGCCTGGCTTGATAACACTTTGTTTTGCAAGCAATCTATATATACAAAATCATTTCAAAAAATAATTGGAGAAAGCAAAAATTTTAGTTTATGAGAAATTTCCAGAAACCTCT